AGTATATCTAATAAACAAACTTCATCATTAATTATTTTCATTTGCATTCGTTTAACATCGTTATTTGCACTTTTTAATAAAACACGTAGTTGTGGAAGTTCTTTTTGTAATTTTGCAAAACATAATAAAGGTTTATCAGTTTGTTCATAAATTTTATTGTTAACTCCTTTGTGTTTATAATACATTTCATTACAATATAAATTTAATAAAGGATTTTTCAATACTTCCTCGTTACTATAATCATTTAATTTTATAAACATTGTAATATTATCCATGATAATTCGAGAATCTTCTCCAAAACGTTCATTAATAGAATTTATTGTAGAATTAATAAGCTTTAAGCCATAATTATTCAAATCATTATCCATATCCATATGATTATCATTGGCATTATTATTAATAGATATGGAACTTCGTGTTGAATGAGCTGTTCGGTGTATCATTGGTAAAAGATCACGACATTCTTTAACTTTTTGTTTATAAATTTCATAATCAAACTCATTTAATGTATTTTGTATACGAACAGTAGTTGAATCTAAGCATATTGAAAATTTATCAAATGTCATGGAACAACTTTCTGTTTGTTTTAAAAACAGCTTAGCATGTCCTAATATAATTCTCATAATTCCAATTTGGAAAATAAATTTTTCATTAACAAAACGAATTGCAAATCCATTTGCTGTTTCCGAACCATCTTTATTTTTTTCATGAATTTGGATTAAAGCTGATACAATTGAAACCATGTGGGTCCACACAAATTCAGCTAACTGATAGTGATACACCCATCGGGTGTCACTTGCACTTGGTACTTTAGAACCTTTAGAAAAGCATAAAACATTAGATACAAAACATTTTTTGAAATAAGAATACCACATAATGAGTTTTTTCTCTCTTAAATTTATTTTTCTTTACCTTCTTTACTTGTTGCATGAAAGATTTGTGATCTTTTTAATATATCCAATCGTTGTGCAGATTCTTGAAAAAAGACAAGTGTTCTGTGAATTAAATCGTATGATTGATAAAATTCATTTGATAGTGTGTCTTTCACAGAAAGATTAATCAAATGACTTCGACAATGTACATAAAAAGCGAATGCATTAATTCTTGATCTAATATGTCCTTGAGTTTGACACCTAACTGAAGATGCACCATCGAAACATTGACCGATCAGAATAAATTTTTTATCTAATTCTTTTTCTAAATCGAATAAGAATTGATTAATAACATCAAAAATCGCCTATAAAAAAGCAAAAATATTTTAAATACAATATAGCAAGAAGTACTTCTCCTGTTTGAGAATGTATTTCATATAAACAAATAATTCTTTCAACTAATTCTTTGGTAGAAGGATTAAAATAACGTAAACAAATACATAATTGTTCCATCACTGTAACATCGCATGTTTCATCTGCTATTATTGTAATATAAGTAACATTTTTTAATTCTTCTAGTTGTTTTTTTCCATAGCCACTTTTGCACACTAAGTAACCAATCACTACGACTTTCTCCACTCCAATAAAGTTCTTTTCTGTTAGCTATAGATAGCCATTGAACTATTGGTTCAGAAAGATTTAGATGTTGTAGTTGGATCAAATCTTTCAAGTTCATAAATGCAAATTCTTGCTTCAATAAGAAAATAAACGATCGTGCAATAGCACGTAAATAATTTAAACTTGCTGTTTTTGTATTAATTTTTGTTGATTTTAATTGTTCTATAACTGTACCATGATCTTCAGATTGTATCTTTGATTGATATTTCATTAATGATTGTTTATGAAGTGTAGATTCTTCATGTTGTCTAATTCCTACGATAAAGCTGTTTGAAAAAGTGTTTTTCATAAAATCAACACTTTTTGTGGAGAAAAAAACTTAATTTTGGACAAATTTTCTTCTTAATTTACTACTGCGATACAATTAAAAGCTTCTGGGAGACTTGGATTCGAGTATCAGCTTAACTTCGACAAATATATTACATATCTTGATAAACACTGCAGCGTCATAATTATATAAACTAATCTAGGAAAAACTGGTACATCAAATTGCCAAGTCTACCGACAAGGCACTAATTTTGAAAAATGATTTTGATTTAGTATGTTATCAAAAGCTTCACCGAAACCTGAATGTCCTTTTGTGATGATCTTAGTTGTATGAAGAATTTAGACTCAATAGATTAAAGAGCTATTGAAAGATTTTCATAGTTAATCATACCTTCAAGACCTTTGTGCAGCAGTTTCCAATAAGGATGAGAAATAAAACCTCCTTTGTTTTTCACTAATCTTGAGTTACATTTTGCTTCTTGTGCACAAATAATGCATAATAATCCGTATTTTTTTTCCGAATATATTGCGCGAAGCCAGATTGCTCGTGCTGCTGTAAACCAAGTTGAACTTGGCTTTGATTCACCACCAGCACCATCTGGTAACCAAATATCATCGTTCAATAATGATCGTTGTTGATCAACAAATTTTAATTCTTGATCTGTTATAAATTGTACACCTGGTATTGATATTTTAACACAAGGTGGACGATAAATCGGTATATATGTCAATGAACAACACATTTCATTATCAATTAAATTTTTATAACTTGTATCAGGACTAATAATATCATGTATTAAATCATTTAATGACATTGAAACATCATTATCATTTATATTTTCAGTCTCAATCATATCAATAGATGAATTATCTGTTGATATTAAATGATTATTTTTATCTATAATAGAACTTGTATAAAAAATATGTTGTTCATTTTCTAATTGAACAAATATATTTTCCAGTATTTTTCGTAATACGATCATATCCTCATAATCATCGCTGTTGCTTTCATTCAAGTGAATATTTAAACTTAATAATGGAGAAGAAAGAATATCAAAATTTTGTTGAATAATTGTTGTTATGCATTCTTGTTGTACATCTTCACTTAATCGACGTTTCTTATGGTTAAAAAATTTGTCAATTGATGGTGTTGTGGTAATTTTGTGTTGATTTGAAATATTCGTCTTTAAGGTGTTGAAAACTTCATCATATGTTCTTTTTTTTTCATTTCGTTCATGATGAGTACACCAGTGACTCTTGAAATTTTTCACTTGAACGCTTACCCGACAAATAGGACAAAGTCCTTTTTCAGAACTGGACATATTTTCAATCTTGATATAAAATATTGTAAACTGGAATAGAGATTTTTGAACAAGAAATATCATTGATAATATTTACCTGTTTTTATTGCCTTTACAAATGATTCATTTTCTCTTTGAAAATTCAAACAGACATTAGTTTAAATTGAAAGAGATAATAGTCCAAACTTAAAGAGAAAATAGGACACATTGAAAGAGAAAATAGTTCGAACTCAAAGAGAAAACAGTACACATTGAAAGAGAAAATAGTCCAAACTTAAAGAGAAAATAGGACACATTGAAAGAGAAAATAGTTCGAACTCAAAGAGAAAACAGTACACATTGAAAGAGAAAATAGTCCACACTTAAAGAGAAAATAGGACACATTGAAAGAGAAAATAGTTCGTATGTGATACAGCAAGCAGTTCTCCCTGCAGTTATACCGAGAAAAATATTTTGTATCAGAAAATACAACAAGTTTGTTTGTGCACAGCTCGTCGTACTTACTAAAAGATAAAAAGAGTTCTGTTCCTAAAATTCTTAGGGAGAAAACTAATACATAAGAAAAAAATTAGCCGGGGGAAATACCCCAGCATCCCCCACCTAATCGTATGGCCTGGGTGTGTGCGAGTGGGTGTGAGTGTTCCTTTTCTCTACAACCACACCCACATCCACACCCTTGGTAGAAAGATAGAGAAATATTTTTTCTATCCGAGAAACTAAAAAGTACTTCGAATGAATGCTGGGTAAAGAAGTTATGAGTTTTTTCTAAAAAGAAAAAAATTCGTAATCAAATTAGCGTTAGGCACTCTATATCTATCTTCGATTACTTTTAATTTGCAGTTCAATATTAGTATTAGAATGTAACGGCTGGAATAAACATAATTGCATAGAAATGTTGACTTAATTGTTTAATATGCTAACAAAACTATTTCCAATTGTTCTTTCTTTTTCTTTTGATTTTTTTTATTGTTCCTTTTACGACTGTAAAATCAATTGCCTCATCATTTTTATGCGACATAGAAAACAACGGTTATAGGTGCCATTTGAGCTGAATCGAATTTTAAGTTCGTTATGAGCTTTCTACTAGTTAGATGCCACCAAATTCTTCGCGTTCAAAGAAGACACTTACAGTCTTACTGCAAGAAGACAGCTGTTAATTAGATTGAATACAAAAAGTAAAAATATCGAACGTATCAAATATGCCATAACAATATGTATTACAGCCGTATTTTCTAGATGCAACTTGACTAAAATCTGAATATTGTTCATTATTCTATCATTTTTCTAAAACTTCACTTTCGATTACAAAATTTAACTAATGAGTACAAACAATAAAAGACACTTCATAGAAAATCCGAACAAAAAAAACATATTTTCTTAGATGTAAGGCAAAGGTGAAAGAAAACACGTGGCAACTTCTATCATGGCTATTGTTGCTCTATGACAACACCACATGAAATAAATAAGAAAATTTTATTCATATTTTCGATGGGAAGTCACAGATGGCGTGTGGGGTGTGGGTGTCGGCTGTGGGTGTTGGTGTGGGTGTCGGCTGTGGGTGTTGGTGTGGGTG